TTTTGACAAATATGGTCCATATCCTTAATGAGATATAGCCCATTATCAAAGCATTCTCTCCTTCTTTTTTTTTTTTTTTTTTATATATTTTTTTATTTTATTTTTTTTTTATTTTTGACAGGCAGAGTGGACAGTGAGAGAGAGAGACAGAGAGAAAGGTCTTCCTTTGCCGTTCGTTCACCCTCCAATGGCCGCCGCGGTAGGCGCGCTGCGGCCAGCGCACCGCGCTGATCCGATGGCAGGAGCCAGGAGCCAGGTGCTTTTCCTGGTCTCCCATGGGGTGCAGGGCCCAAGCACCTGGGCCATCCTCCACTGCACTCCCTGGCCACAGCAGAGGGCTGGCCTGGAAGAGGGGCAACCGGGACAGAATCCGGCGCCCCGACCGGGACTAGAACCCGGTGTGCCGGCGCCGCTAGGCGGAGGATTAGCCTAGTGAGCCGCGGCGCCGGCTCATTCTCTCCTTCTTAACACGTCAACTTCTGGGTCACTTCCCCAGAAATAATTCTGCTGTCTTTTATTCCTAACTACCTTTCTACTTTCCTTTTATCTTTCCTACACTGTTTTTTTAAAGTATAAATTAGTTTTATGCAAAACATTTATCCAGCAGCATGTATGAAGATGCTCTGAACAGTTTGTGGAAAGATGAAATTAAAACTTTATTGTGACAAAAAGTTTTGAAATCCATGCATAGTTTTTTTAATATGCATTTTCCATAAGCCTTTTGAGGACCCTTACATTCACGCATTTAAAAAACTTTTTTCACCAATATAATCTTATTTATTAGGCAGAGTGGCATAAGAGAAAGAAGAGACAGAAGGAGAATGAGAATTTTCATTGGCGGGTTCTCTCCCTAAATATCGACATGGGCTGGGCTGGCCAGGTGAATGCTGGGACCCAGGAACTTTGTCCGAGTCTCCCACTTGGGTGGCAGAGGCCCAAGCACTCAGGCCATCTTCTGCTGCTTTTCCCGGGCACATTTGCAGGAAGCTGAGTAGGAAGCCATGCAGCTGGACTCTCCAGCACTCAGACATGGAACGTCAATGTGGGTGGTGTCTTACCCTAGTAGGTTACAACAGCCGCTCCATGAACCTTTTGAAGTCTTGCCATATACTTTTTGAAAAGTTTCTTTCAATCAACATAACACTTTGAAATTTATCCATATAGTGTGAATCAATAATCCATTCCTTTCCGTGACATAGTATTCCATTATATGGACATGACAGGAGCTTGCTTACACATTTTGTTCCGGATGCCCATCTGAGCTTTGGGCTGTAATGATAAAGCTGTGAGTCACATTTTTTTTTTCTACAAGTCCTTTTTGGACATCTATTTCTGTTCCTCCTGAGTAAATACCCAGGATAGGCAAATGTATATTTCATTTTATGAGAAACTGCCAGATATTTTTCAGAGTAATTGTACAATTTTTCCCTCCTATCAATGAAGTATGAGAATTTAAGTGTCTTCAGATACAAACTAACATTTGATTCTTGCAATTTTTAAAAATTTAATCATTCCACAGCCCACTACTCTCTGCTTCCAAAAAATGTGATTATTAAAATTTCTGATTTGTGTAAGTATGTGTGGTTATTTTTCTTGTACAGTTCAATAATTTTAATTTCGAAACAAATATATTTGCTAATACATTGAGCAATATTTTATGAAGTTTAAAAATGAGAAGCTAAAATGATTTACGATTACTTGCCAATGTTGTACAAATTGTTACAGTACTTGTAGCTTGGAAAATATGTCAGTAACTATATTGTATGAAGATACAAAATATACTGACCTAAATCAATTGGAGTAATGACTATTTTGAGGACAGTGTTAGATGATAGAAGAAATAACCAAAGTCTTTTTGAAGAAACTAAGAACAAAAAGATTTCTGTGAGATGTTTGAGTAAAATATTTTATACATTTTGATATGGAAAGCAATTTCTCAAAAGTGATATTACTTAATAAAATATTAGATTTTAGACATTATTGTTAAGCAATATAAATATTAAGATTAGGTAAGACTTTTTATCATTTATTCATTTAAAATTACCTTTCCATGTTATTCATTTTGTAAGTTATACTTATTTAATCCCTTTAATAGTAACATCAACAATATAAAATTATTATATTAAGGAATAATTAAAAAATAAAAACATAGTATACATAGGTAATATCCTAGCATGACAATTTTTGAACTGAAAGTTGGGCTTAGAATTACATGACTTTACTGAGGTTATACAATGTATGCAAGCTATGTCTACATCCAGGACCACCTTGTTCCTTCTGAATAGCATTTAATCCATCTGTAGTACTTTATTTTATTAAGTAAGAATAATATATATATGCCATTTTAAATGATATTGACCTAACATTGATAAAACATTTTCTTTTAAAGTACAAATCCCCTATTATGCATCTCATTTGTGCATAATGGAGTTAGCAACTTCTGGAATAGCATCATTTCAAATTTTTTATAAATACAGTTTGAGGATTGATGAGATATTTTCTGCCCTAAATAATTTTCTGTGCAAATGAGGCTATCCAAATTAGTTTAACTTCTCAAAGCCCAACTTTGGTATTATATTTTCCATCATGCAAATATGAACATTAATGCATTCTAAACAGATATGATTTTGTAAAAATTCACTGTCATTAGCAAAGGACTGAAATAAAAGCATCAGAGGAGTTCTACTTATCACTAAGGTGGAAATATTATGATATTTATAGGTTGATACAAGCCATTTACCAGTTATGACCTAATCATTTCATATACAGTTGATGCCACTATTCAAATGAACAGCGACAGAGATAACTGTTGAACATTTGTTACAGTTAATATTCCTTGTCAATCATAAAGTACATGACTGCACTCAATACTACTATATTTCTTCTATCTATCTCCCTTAACTAAAGACTTTCAAACCAAATAGCATTGCATTTGAATGGTATACTTCTCAATGTTATTTTAGCTGTATGCACTGTCCATACAAATTACCATTTAAAAATATCATTATTGAATATGGGCAATGGAATTTTTAACATGACACTTGCAAAATCTAATAAAATTGTGATTACTGTAGAGAAAGAAAATGAGAGAGATTGGATTGTATTGACAAGTAGCAGGCATTGTGGTCAAATTGTTTCACACAGTACATCTTTTTCCAGAACTTTTATTATAAGCTAAGAAGTGCCGGAGAAATCTATACAAAAACAAGCATAACTGTATATATTAGAATATATCTTTCCCCTAGCTGCTATTTTCCTCTATTAGTTGGTTAAATTATTACTAGTCTCACAAAATTATTGTAAGATTAACTTTTACAGCTGGCTTACTACCCATAGTGCCCGTTTTGTTCATATGATAATTATCTTTTAAATGTGTCTGCAGTGCCCTTACCACACTAATTAGATATTTAATGAACAATATTGGGCTACCCAAAATGGGATCTATTTTAAGCAGAGGCATTCAAGCAAAAGCAAACCTTTTCATTAAATAAGAGCAAAAATTGGGGCTGGTAATTTGGCACAGCAAGTGAAGATGCTGCCATATAGGAGCACTGGTTCAGGTCCCAGTTGTAACACTTCCAATCCTGCTCCCTGCAAATGTGCCTGGGAAAGCAGCAGAAGATGGCTCCAGTACTTGGTCCCCTGCCACTTATACAGGAGTCATGGATAGTGTTCCAGCTCCTGCCTTCAGCCTGGCCCAGTCCCAGTTGTTGCATATGGGAGTAATCTCAGTCTGCCTTTCTAATAAAATCTTTATTTTAAAAATGATTTAATTTGAAATATATAGAGAGAATCTTCCATCAACTTTTTAACTCACAAAATGGCTGCAAAGGCTGGTGGGGGCAGGGCTAGGCCAAACCCGGGAGCTGGGAGATTCTTCTGGATCTCCTACATGGGTGGCAGGGGCTCAGATATTTATTCCATCTTCCACTGCTTTCCCAGGCACATTAGCAGGGAGCAGGATTGGAAGTGGAGCAGCTGGGACTGAAACCTGTACCTATATGGGGTGCCAGTGCAGCAGGCGGAGGCTTAACCTGTTATATCACACTGCCAGCCCAACACAATAAATCTTTTATAAAGGAAAACCTGCCTATGGTCACTGTGCGTGGATGGGGCTCAAGGTAAGCACTAATAAGCCTCAGGTCAGAACAAAAGCATGCATTTGCCAAGTTTTGTTGTCTGAAAAGACAAATGATTGTCTTTGAATATCAGCTTGTAGAGTTCGTATAACTTATTGCTGTGAAGTTAATAAGCAAAGTGTAAGAGGCTATCTCACATAACAATAATTGGCTTCAAATTTATAAGATAATATAAAAAATTTAACAATGAGAAAATGTATGATCCAGTTCCCCTGCCCTGCTAATTCCAAGTGGCAGACTTCAGAAGAGCGGAACAGACAGGTGTGCCTTCAGATGGTCACATGAGCATCCACCTGCCAGATCTGCAGACTCCAAGTGGAACTTTAGGAACTGGGATTCGATGGTGGCAGATTGTGGAGACTTATATGTGGAGTTGGAAAATTATTGGAAACTCAATCTGCCTTTTAAGATTTGTAAGTCTTCATCATCGTGTCCAGAGAAAAGACAAATAAGTATTAATAGTAGGTATATGACTTGCTTATATAAAATAAGCAAAATAGTATTTTGGTATTCTTTAGGGAGAGTAAATATGTTATATTTTTAAAAATTTAAAGGCTTTTCTGTTCTCATTTTCCCCATAACATCTTAAATCTATTAAGATGATTTGTTGGCATGTTGATTTCTGCTAGAACCTATCAGTTCTGAGGCAATGGGTTACTAGATATAACTGTCTGAAAAGAACATTCTAAATGTGTACACCTATCTTTGTTCTTGTTATTTGAGTTTCCTAAGTGCCACATTGAAATTATCGTCATAGCATGTACTAGAAGGAAAGTATGGCAAATGTACTATATATGCTATTCATGTCTATATCAAAGAGATTAAGTAGTAAAGCATATATCTTTTTCGGATTTATTTCAGTGACTGGAAATGATGGTTTTTATATAATACTGAAAGGTGTAGCACGACTTCAGCCACAGTTTTGTAATAATTTGGTTGGAGGAAGGGACTCAGCAGTTGGTTACAAGCCTCAGACTTTCAGTAGCTTTGTGATCTTTGAAGACTTGAGAAGCTCTGAAATTGCTAAGCTGTGTTCATCTTTACGTGACTCTAAGGTAAGAAATGAATAATTACTTTTCCATAAGCGACAAGGTAGCATGGTTATAATTTTTTTCTCTTTCAAATAGTGAGATCCAACTATCCAAATATCTGTAGGGTCCTGTTAAATTTTCTTTAAAAAATTAAATTGTGCTATTAATATTGAAGTTGAAATTTGATTATATTTCAACAGCATAATGCTTGATGATAGAAGTGTGTGGTGTATTTGATAACTGAGACAATAGTAATGTGACAAGATCATTGAACGAGGAAGATATGACAGATTGAGATGAGGGAGAAGCAGCAAGTAATTTAAGTGGGAGAGACAGGGGATTGATCATGAAGGACCTTTGAAAGTAAGTGAAGCATATGTTTGTCTCAAGAGCAATGCTAGGATAATGAATGTGTTGACTGTATCACAATCAAATTCTTACTTGAAGAACTTTTTGTGTTTATATGTAACATTTCAAGACTATCAGTCAAAAACACAAGTCTCTTCTTTTTTAAGATTGATTTATTTATGTGAAAGGCAAAGTTACAGAGAGGCAGAGAGAGAGAGAGAGAGAGAGAGACTGAGAGAGAGTGCTCTTCCATCTGCTGGTTCACTCCCCAAATGGCCGCACTGGCCAGAGCTGGCCCAATTCAGAGCCAGGAGCTTCTTCCAGGTCTCACACGTGGGTGCAGGGGCCCAAGCACTTGGACCATCTTACACTGCTTTCCCAGTCCATAGCAGAGAGCTCGATCAGAAGTGGAGCAGTCGAGACTTGAACTGGCACCCATATGGTATGCCAGCACTGCAGGCCAGGACTTTAACCTGCTGTGCCACAGCACCAGCCCCCACAAGTATCTTTCTTGATCTCTGAAGACTCCAAGTGGGCTTAAGTTCTGATTTGATAAAAATTGTTACTAAAAAACCAGTTCTAGATTTAGGTGTCTCAAATTTTAACAGAAGAGGAATCGAACAAAACCCATTAAAGACATGTTTTGTTGTTTTGTTAGCATTTTGAGTTGAAGTCAAGGAAAACCTATAACAGAACGAACATGGATACAATGAAAAAAAGTAAGCACATGGATAAAAATGAGACAAGTCCATACACATCCACTGATGTTTATGTCACATGAATGAGTACTATTCCTGGTTGGCTGTCTTTATCCTTGTGAATGGGAAAGAAGATATTTAACCTTATTTACCATATCAGTGGCCTTGTATCATGTGCCTAATTCCATTTTAATCTGCTCTGCAGAAATACAACTTTTGATACAGTAGCTATAATTAGGAATATGTCCTAGCTGGGTTTGTAGTAATAAAACTATCTTTTAGGTTCTGTTTTTTGTCCCTAAGGACTATCTTCATGAGGAAAATAGAGACTGGGTGGGAACTGAGAGCTCTGCATCTTGCATTAGGTCTTTGACAGCAGCACATTCTCTGTCCTTCCACTTGAGATGTGGTAATGTTTTTTATTTTCTACCCTGACCCAGGTCAGGGGTGAGGGATAGAAATAAGGAGACAGAGAGAAAGTTCACAGGCTTACTTTCTCTTCTTGACCATAATGGTTCTTATTACACAAGCCAGGCACTCAAGGTAAAACTTCTGCCAACCTCCAAGTAGCCATTCAAACAATAAATTTAGGGACAATGGGAAAGGCCATGGTTGTGACTAATGGACCTAATGAAACTACTGTGAACCAAACCAGGACCAAAACTCTGTTTTTCATGTGTTCTATATGTCCCTTCAAAAGAACAGATACTATGAGAGTTATTTTATGTACCAATGTCATAATGCCACTGTCTCAGATTTCAGGGCTGCATTTTTTTTCCCAATCAGGTATGTTGATAGTATTCTACGTAGGAAAAATAGATTTTTATTAAGCAATATAACTTAATAAAGTTCACATCTTTGACCTGAGAATGTTTTTATGGTTTCTATAGAAATTTACCTCATTAACTTTGAATATAAAACAGTAGACTTCACCAATTGCATATTATCTTTTGCAGATAGGCTGCTAATTGCCTTGATAATCCTTATAAAGTTAGTGTCTCAATGATAATGATAGTAACCCAGTCCCTACCCTCCAATTCTTATGAATATTGAGGTGATCATATATTATTCACATCTATTATTTTGAAAGATTTATTTATTTTACTTGAAAGGCAGTGTTATGGAGAGGCAGAAGCAGAGAGAGAGAGGGAGAGAGGAGAGGAGAGAGGAGAGAAGAGAGAGGAGAGAGAGAGAGAGAGAGAGAGAGAGAGAGAGAGAGAAGGACCTTCCATCCATTGCTTCACTCCACAAATGGCAGCAATGGCTGGGGCTGCACTGATCTGAAGCCAAGAGGCAGGAGTTTCTTCCAGGTCTCCCACACAGATTCAGGGACCCAAGTACTTGGGCCATCTTTCACTGCTTTCCCAGTCCATAGCAGAAAGCTGGATCAGAAGTTCAGCAGCCGGGACTCAAACCAGTGCCCATATGGGATGCTGGCAGTGCAGGCGGCGGATTTACCCACTAAGCCACAGAGCCGGCCCCTATTTACATCTCTTAAAGATCTGGCCTCTGGTTTGGAATTTGTATAAATTGGTTTCCAAGTAGGCATCCAAATCAGTGCCCATCCTTGTGTGCACATGCACACGCACACAGTCACGAGCTCTGTTGTCTGACAACATTATGATGAAACCAGAGGACCCCTCATATGAGGCATTATGTATCAAAAGTCACAATGATTCTGTTAAAAACTAATTAAAAATTAAAATTAAAAATTCTTAAAAAACCTTCCTTGTCCCTCACACAGGAGACACAAGCAATAAGCAACTCTTGTTATACAAACAAGGGAGACAGGACATGAATAGGCAGGAGCTGGTTCTGACAATGAGGATGGTAGCACCAAGATAAAGGACAAGTTCACTGTGGCTTACAGTGGCCAGGAAAATGTCAGAATGAAGGAGCTTGTCTGTCTTTCAAAGACAGTTTGTAGATCAGTGTAAAAGAGAGACAATTTTGTTCTGAACCAAGGTGATTCCCTTTGCTCGTGTAAATTGGAAAGCCAGATGACAAAGCCACGGTATTTTGCTGAGAGAAGGTTTATTACAAGGCAGGCAAGCACAGAGTCTGGAACAATGCTCAAACCCGACTCCTTGAACAACTTTTACAAAGGATATTGATTGTAGGATGGAGATGGGGCATAGTAATGAATGCTCAACAAAGAAAGCAAAGTCCTGGCTTCCTCTGCTCTGGTGCAGGTCAGACATATGCCTCTTCTTGAATGGCATTATTGCATGTAGCAGTAAAAGAGCGAGAGAGTGGGAAGATTTGGCCCTAAACAAATGTCTAGCCAGTGGTGTGTGGTCTGTCCATTGTAGTCCTGTGGTTTTGACTTGTTTCAGTTGGCTTCATTCAGTGCTTGCGGAAAAAAAAATAGTTTATTACTTTGGGTACTGCCTTTTTTGTTTAACCCTGTAGCATACTATCCTGTTATTGTATGGGATTCCGCTAACTATTGTAGAGAATGAAGGAGTTGCTAGTTACTCCTGCACCCTCCCCACATTGTGGGGCCTTACATAGTGGCCCTGATAGCACCCCTTTTAACAGCACAGATTAGAGATTCAGACTCCGTTTTATAGCTCTGGAAACATGGGAAATTCAGATTTTACTCTTTAGGTTACACATCTGTAAACCCAGGCCAATAACACCCACCTGGTGAAGCACTGTTTGCTTTAAATAAGATTTATATAAGCCCTGAGAATAATGCCTAGAACATTGTGAAAGCTCTGTTTTTACCTGTAGTGGATGTTGATGATGTTTTTGTTTTTCATTCTATCTTTCTGTCAAATTTGCACCTTCAGGTTTTCACTATTTCTTGCCAGTGTAGTGTATCAACCTCCTAACCTGCATATAGCCTAATAAACCCTTAATTCATCTTTCTCATTATCACTAGAATGTCTTTTGTAGAAGTAACAAATGTATTCTGTGGCTCTCTTGCATAAAATATTTCAGTCATTTCTAGCCACAAGATAGAACTCTAATGCCTTTGCTTTGGATTTTGGGGCCCTTCATAAACGCGCTTAGCTCCCATTGTATGACTTTTGCTAGGTATGAAAATTTGCTTGTAGTTCACTGTAAGCTTATATTGCCTTCATGTCTTCTTTTCTTTTATTTGACAGAGTTATAGACAGTGTGTGTGTGTGTGTGTGTGAGAGAGAGAGAGAGAGAGAGAGAGAGATAGAGAGAAAGGTCTTCCTTCCATTGGTTCACTCCCCAAATGGCTGCTACGACCAGCACTGCACCGATCCAAAGCCAGGAGCCAGCTGCTTCTTCCTGGTCTCCCATGCGGGTGCAGGGGTCCAAGCACTTGTTGCCTTCATGTCTTTACATATTTTGTTCTCTGTACCTGGATTGAGATGCTTCCTTGGGGTGTCTTAGCAGTCTGTTGTGCATTCTTCACTAACCAAGCCCCATTTCCTCTGTGAAGACTTTCACTTTTCCCTGATACACCTTGCACTTGCTCCTAGATGGTGTTGTTAGTTTTAGTTTTCATTCAACAGTAAACTCACTGAAGTCAGTCCATGTATTACTCCTCCTTTCAATCTGTCTTTGTGTAGTGACTGGTGTAGTTACACAGGTCAGTTAAAATAAAGGTTTGCATGAGGTGATACAGAATGAAGAAGTACATAAATGAAAATAGACCAGAGAGGGAAACAATAGAATGAGGAGAAAAGTGTTAGGACAGCAAGGGAAATGTTTGACCCATTGTCCTGAGAAGGCGCTTACAGGTCACTTTGGAAGTCTCAAGCACATTTGAAGTTTGGCTTTAAATTTAGCTGCAAGAATTCATCTATATCGAGAACACAGTAACTATATTAGCTATTTGAAAAAAAATCACTGGCTTCATGAATTTCAGCAAGAGGAATCTGGCAACTATGTCAGACTCCAGTTTCTTTTAATTACTGTTATTCTCAGGGAATTCATTGCCCTGTCCACAGAAACGTTCCTTCACAATATTTTGAGCAAATTCATTATCTTCATATC